ATATGTATACAACCCGCATCAGATTGGATTGAGCCATCACACAATTTTCACAATAAAGCCATTTTGTAGTGAGCATATGATTTTGCATTATGTTTTCTACATATATTGCAAACTTCCATTCTAATAGGTTTACCTTTTGGCTGTGAACAAAGGTGATAATGTTCTTAATTTGGAAGTTGTGTAATATTGCAGCAACATGGATTTGCATGAACTGGAATATGGACCATAGATGATGGGGCTTCACCACTCAATCACCGTAAACATCAAAAACAAAATGTATATTGACATTTTTTAATGACCTCTAAAAATAACATTTGTTTTAGGGCAATTGTTTTGCATATGTTATGTCAGCTCTTATCTAGGCTATCCATCTAAGATTGCAAGCCTAGGACCGGAATGTTCAGATTTGCAGTAAAGTAATGTTTTAACTAGGTATGTTGCCCTTGCCAATATTCAGATACAAGATGCCTTAGGTTAAGATTTCAGATTATCACATAGACTGTTATAACCATTTATAACCTTTTGTTTGCTTCCAACCATCTCTAGTATGTACCATAAAACGGTCTCTGCACAACTATTTGGACTGCATTTTATTGAGTAAAAAAATTTCAAAGAAACATACCCTTTGCTTGAAGGATGTTAGTACTCTGTACACCGACTCTTCGATAGCAGCAATGTTGGCTTGTTGCTTCAAAGTTGTATAAGTTAGAAATGTCAGAAAGAAATCAAGTCATTTCAGCACAGCAAGCTTAAAACTAAACATAGCACAATGTGACAAACTCATGTATATTCTTCTGACGTGACAGTGCAACAATATTGTCACATTTTCAATAAATTGTTTTGTTTTCATTAGTTTAAGTATCTGAACACTAATGTTTGATCTAATTTCAAAATTGTGAAACACAAATATATTTCAAAATTGTGATTTTTTAAAAACACGAACAATCTTTAAAAAACAGAAACATATTTTGAAAAACAAAAATAAAATTGAAATTTCTGCTTTTGAAATTTGAATATATTTTTAAAACACAGTTTTGTTTGAAACTTCAATTCTTTTGAAATTTAAAATTCTGAACATTTTTCTAAAACATGAACAAAATTTTGAAACACCAGTTTTTTAATACATGAAGAAAACTTGAAACTCTTAACTTTTTTGAAAATACGAACATTTTTTTGATAGCGTGAATAAAATTTGGAATTTCTGAACTTTTTTGAATATGTTGAACATTTCTATGATTTTTCTACTTTTAAAGCAGAGAAATAAAAAAAGAAAGAAACATGAAACAGAAAAAAGAAAAAAAAAGAAAAAACCCGGCTCATGAACCTTCTTGGAGGTTCCAAGGAAATCATTTAAAAACAACCGGATGATTTATGCAAGAAATCATCCGTGTTCGCTGGACGCCACATGTCGCGGTGGTTCCACGCATGACGCACTGCCTTTCCTTGCGAGCCACTCGTTTCTATCATTATCTTTTCTCTTAGACGGCCTAGTCTCCTACCTCTTTTGTTCTCCCACCACACTGTCCAGCTCCTCCGACCACCGCACTGCGAGACTGCGCCTGCACCGCGCGCTGCTGCTGCACCCCTGCGTTTTGCAACGGGCACCATGCTGCAGATGCTCGCGTTTTACAGCCGTCCATGGAGAAGCTCTTCAATCCTGTCGTGCAGCTCGCCACCGGCGGCAATGGAGCGTTACCGGAACTTCAATGAAGCGCCGCCGGGCAGACAGAACCTCGCCGGTGCTTCAATGGAGCTTCGCCGGGCCGACGGAACATCGTCGGTGCTTCAATGGAGCTTCGCCGGGCCACCGAAACCTCACCGATGCTTCAATGGAGCTTCGCCGGGCCACCAGAACCTCGCTGGTGCTTCAATGGAGCTTCGCCAGGCTGACGAAACCTCACGATTGTTTCGATGGAGCATTCCGGGCCGTCGGAGCATCGTTAGCGTTGCAATGAGGCATTGCCGGGCCGTCGGAGCATCGCCGATGCTTCAAGGGATGGTCGCAGCAACATAGTTGCTGGTGCTGCAATCCCGGAGCTTGCCGGCACTACAACCGTTGCCGGTGCATAGCAAGCTCACTGACGTTTTTCTCTGAGATTCGGTGACGTGACTGCTGCAACCTGAGCGCTGCGGCTAGTGCAAGCAAGAGTTGATGCTGCAAGTCAGCTAGCAACGGTTCTCGCCGGAGCTAGGCGAGGATATTGCATTGCACATGCCAGTGCCTGGAGTCACGATGGAGGAGACACGAGCGTATTGTGATAGCGTGGTTCGGGGAAACAAGGGGCCCAAATCAATGCAAATCGACGGCTAGGAAGGCTGCTGATCTTTTCTAAGATCAGCCGGCTAATTCCTAGCAGCCCCCAGGTTCCAAACCGGTAAAAATCAGCTTGAAACCTTCTAAGGCTCCGCTTGGATTACCATTTGGCCCTAGATACCCCCGTAAAAACAATACAGACCTTTAGGCGTCATTTTTTCTCCAGGCGGAAGTCACACTGCGGCCCATATAATACAGGTGTATACCAAATCCGGACGTAAAATCTTACACCGATTCCAAGCGGGCCCTAAAAAAGATTTCCATTTTTTTTGAGGAATTCTAAAAGATTTTCAAGACCGGGATTTGTAGAGGTAACAGACAGATTAGAATGGGTCGGCCCATGTTCACCCGTCTCGCTCGGGTCTGTGCGAATAGGGTAAAACCGCGACGTGGGCCTACTGCTTGTTGTTTCCTAAAAGAAAGGTATATTAAAAGAGGGAGGTCCCTGTTGCCCATCCATATATGAACTTTTTTGATTTGCTCCTCCACCTTAGGGCATGTATAATGATGTACAGTCAGCTGTCTAGAAGGGTTGACAACTAGAATTTGAGCCAATAGCCAAACTACCACTAGTGAAAACCACAAGTGCCAAAATACCACTATGAAAAATCAAAGTGCCAAAATAGCACTCACTTGAAAATTTTCATGCCAAGATACCACTATGAGCTAACTGAGACTAACAGATGAGTAAAAATACTACTTTGCCCTTTTACTGTGTGCTTGTGGCTGGACAAGGGAAAGCGGCCGGCGTCGATGTAATCCACCAGCAAGAGGCATGTCTCCCTCCTCCGCATTGTCAAGCGCAGCTGCACAACCGAGCTCGTCGTCGCCCGGCCGCACCTCGGCTTTGCCACCTGCTTTGTGCGCCACCTCCGGGCTCCGGTCGCCACCACCGCTGCTGCGCTGCCTCAACCCCGTTGGCCGTTGTGCCTCGCACTCGCACCATCAGCAACTATAGCAAGCGGCGGTGGCGTTGTGCAACCACATGATGCACTTAGCTTATGGCAAGCAACAACAAGCAGCACACACGCATAGTATCGGGCAAGATCCAGGGGCCGCAGCGGGGCCATGCTCCACGCTCGGTTCCGGAGCAAGGAGGTGGCACGGCGTCATCCGCAGTGGGGCGGCGATGGGTTGGATGCGGGGAGGAGCTGGGCGGGCATGGCGTCATGCATGGCGTGGTGGGCGCCTGGGCGGTGCTGCGTGCGCTGCAGAGTGGCGGCTCCATGTCGCTGGGAACAGCGTGGAACAGGGGCGGCCGGCTTGACGTGTACAGGAGCCGTGGCTAGAGCTCGGGCCGACAAAACAATCTCCGGCCACTTTGACCAGTACAAGCCCCATGGCCACGGGCAGCAGTGCACACGCTCAGAGATAGGATGAAGGGTACTTTTGGCAAGGTAGAAAAAACTGACAGCTCCATCCACCGTTGACTAACAAAATATGTTTGACAATAGACGGTAGTGCTATCTTGGTATGGAAAACCTGAACTTGAGTGCTATTTTGGCACTTCGGTGTCAGTACAGCTACGACAGTACTGACAGCGACGACAGACACTGAAGCCACCTGCTGTAATTCATACGGAAGGTTAGTGGGCCTAAAGTAGTGGGCCGCGTCTGGTGAGCGAGAGGCAGTAGTATAACAGGCTGAGTCGCCGGATCGGTGTGACAGCGAGGAATTAGTCAACATTCTGTACCCAGTCTCCTCTCGTCTCCTTCCTCCTTCCCAAGTCTCCTCCTCTCTGATCCCCTATATCTCTCGGGTTGTATTTCTCGAATTGAAGTGAGGAACTCTGTAATTGATGTTGGATTGGGTGTGATTACCTCGGTACATCACAGTTGGTATCAGATTCGGGCGATCGGCAGCGGGGTGTGGCGAATCGGGCTCGGTTACGGCTAGGTTGGGCTCTTCCGTGAAATTCCGAGTCGTGATCGGGGTTCGCGGCGGCGGTGTGGCGGCCGTTGTCAGAGTCGGCGCCGGTGGCGTTTTCTGGGCGGCGGTGGTTGTTCGGCTTTGGATTCAGGTACGCCGCGGTTTCCCTCGGTTCCTTATGAGGGTGTGAAATTCCGGCGAGCGGCTGGATTTGCGAGGCAAGGCGGCGAGCGGGTCGGTTGTAGAGGCTCAGGTTGGGGGCGTCCGTAAAACACCTGAGGCTCGCCGACTCCGGCGGCAGTAGACGAGGGCGCTACGGCTCCGACGAAGGCAAGTGTGCAGACACGGTTAGTGCTCGACTCGATGGCCACATTCGAGGCATCTGTTATGAAGCAGCTTGAAGCTCTCTCCAAGGCCACTGAACATCTCGGACGCATTGATGAGATAGCAGCTCGCCTAGACAGGTTGGATTTGAAGATGGCTGAGCAAGTGGAACGCCTTGATGTGGTGCAGGGTAATGTGAACCTCACAATGAAATCCATGGGGGAAGCCCGACAAGAGCAGGCGGCAACAGCAAGAGAGATGCTGAACAAACAGTCACCGCAGTCATTGGCAGCCAGCGGTGATGGAATCCTGGGATCACCTCCTCTGAAACAAGCTCAGCAGCAAGTACAAACTCAGGTACAGGGTAATGCAACCTTTGGCGAGCGGTATCAGTATGATACAGCAAATGCCGGAGAGTCACACAGCCGGAAACCTTGGATGCCGAAGATGGATTTTCCCAAATTCGAGGGCTCGGATGTCAGGATTTGGTTAGATGGATGACATTCCAGAAGCATTTAAGGTAACATCTGCAACCTTACACATGTTTGGGGATGCAGCGAACTGGTTTCATGCATACAAGTTAATACATCAGTGGCCAAGCTGGAGTGAATTCAGAATTGCAGTGACTACTGAATTTGATAGAAATGTACACCGGAACAAAATGAAAGAGTTGCTATTGCTTAAACAGTCTGCGTCAGTCCTGGAGTATAAAAGAGAATTTAATCAGTTGGTCTATCAGCTGCTGCTATATGAGCAATCTGTTAGTGATACCTTTTTGGTCACCAGGTTTCTGTTGGGTTTAAAAGAAGAGCTCAGAGGAGCTGTAGAGATTCAGTTGCCAAGGAATGTAGCTGAAGCGGCAGATTATGCTGTTGTTCAAGAAGAAGTGATGAGCAGAACTAAAAGTGTTAAATCTTCTTATACAAAGATGTACAACCAGAAATCTGATAACAGAATCAATTCAGTGCCCTCGGGTGATCTATGGAAAGCTAGACAGTTGAAAGAATTTAGGAGAATCAATGGGTTGTGTTATAGCTGCGGAGACAAATATATGCCTGGTCATGTGTGTGCTAAGTCCCCTACTGCACAGGTGCATGTCATGCAGTCGGACAATTCTGCAATACTCAGTGATGAAATTTTGGATGCAGTTATTACTCAGGAGGAAGCTATGGCAGAAATGCAGTTGTCTGTCAATGCTCTATCGGGTGCTGATCATCCCAAAACACTCAGATTACGAGCTCTCATCGGAAACCAGGTAGTTATCATACTTGTGGATTCGGGCAGTACCAGTAGCTTCATTGATTCTACATTACTCCAGAGACTTAAAGTGACAACCACCACCTTAGACACTGCCTTGCCTGTAAGAGTGGCAAATGGTGAATTGCTACAATGTACTGAAGAAGTAGCAGACTTACACTGGTGGGTGCAAGGTCATACCTTCAAGTATGATTTCAAAGCCCTGGCTCTGAGAGGCTATGATTTGATTCTAGGAATGGATTGGCTGGAGCAATGGGGAGAAATGGTATGTCAGTGGAAAGAGAAGTGGGTGCAATTTCAGTTGGAGGGACATGTGATCAAGTTACAAGGCCTTACTACTGCCGTTTCATCTTAATTGCAAGAAATGTCAGCAGAGCAAGTGGTCCGGTGGCACCAGGGAAATGATATATGGGCCACTGTTTTGATCTCCCCTGTGTCAGATAAACATACAATAGGTGTTCCAGCCGAAGTGCAAGCTCTTTTAACGGAATTTGAGGATGTTTTTCAAGAGCCACAATCTGTGCCACCTAGCAGAGTACATGATCATGCAATACATTTACTTCCTGGTACAGTGCCTGTGAATGTAAGACCATATAGATATTCTCCATTACAAAAAGATGAAATAGAGAGACAAGTGGCAGAGATGTTGCAAGCAGGACTCATTGTGCCCAGCATCAGCCCATTTGCTTCTCCTGTTTTGTTGGTTAAAAAGAAGGATGGATCATGGAGATTTTGTGTGGATTACAGGAAGCTGAATTCTATCACTCTGAAAAATAAATTTCCTATGCCCATTGTGGATGAGCTATTGGATGAGCTGGGAGGATCTAAATGGTTTTCTAAACTGGATTTAAGGGCAGGTTATCATCAAATTCGAATGGTGCCTGAAGATGAACACAAAACTGCCTTTAAAACCCATTGTGGACACTATCAGTTCAGAGAGATGCCCTTTGGAGTGTGTGGTGGCCCCTCCACTTTCCAATGTGGTATGAATTTCATGTTTGCCCCTCAAAATAGGAAGTATGTGATTATGTTCATGGATGACATCTTAGTTTTCAGCAAATCATTCCTAGAGCATTTGGATCATCTCAGAAACGTACTGCAATTGTTGAGGGAGCATCAATTTTATGCAAAATTTAGCAAGTGTACTCGCTCAACAGAAATTGGAATATCTAGGGCACATTATCTCAGATACTGGGGTGTCTACTGATCCTGAAAAGACTAAGGTCATGTTGGACTGGCCAGTTCCCACTTCTGTTACTGAATTGCGAGGATTTCTTGGACTGACTGGGTACTATAGGAAATTCGTGCAGAGCTATGGAATTATTGTCAAACCCTTAACTCAGCTCCTTAAGAAACATGGCTTTGGGTGGTCTGAAGGTGCACAACAAGCCTTCGACACCCTCAAGCAGGCCATGGCAACAACACCTGTACTAAGTTTGCCTAATTTCGACCAACCCTTCATCGTAGAGACTTATGCTTGTGCAACTGGGGTGGGGGTTGTGCTTCTTCAACATGGACATCCTGTAGCTTATTACAGCAAGGCACTGGGAGTTAAGAACCAACATTTGTCCATCTATGAGAAGGAGTTTCTGGCCATTATGATGGCAGTGGAGAAGTGGAGATCGTACTTGCAGAGAGGTCCCTTCATCATAAAAATAGATCATCAAAGCTTGTGCCAGCTAGGAGATCAAGTTCTCACCTCTGATCTGCAAAGGAAGGCCATGATGAAATTAGTGGGACTTCAGTTTTCTTTTCAGTACAAAAAAGGAAATGAAAATACAGTGGCAGATGCCTTATCTAGAGTGGGGCACTTGTTAGCTGTGACAACTACTTCTCAGAGTCAGCCAGTATGGATGATTGAAGTCACTAATTCATATGCAGTGGATCCTCAGGCACAAAAATTATTGCAACAATTGGCTGTGTTCACTGAGAATGCAGAAGGGTTCTCCTTACACCAGGGAATAATTAAGCAGGAGGATAGGATCTGGATTGGGGCAAATTCAGCTTTAAAAACAAAGCTGATCTCTGCCTTTCATGCTAGTGCTGTGGGAGGTCACTCTGGTATTCAAGCCACTTATCAAAGAGTGCAGAAATTGTTTAGTTGGCCTGGCATGAAGCAAGATGTGACTGAATTTGTGTAACAGTGTGAGATTTGTCAGAAAGCTAAACATGAAAACTGTAAGTCTCCAGGGCTGTTGAATCCCTTGCCAGTGCCAGATATACCTTGGCAACACATCACTATGGATTTTATTGAGGCCTTGCCTAAATCCAACGGATATACAATCATCTTGGTTGTGGTAGACAGGTATACAAATATAGCCATTTCATTGCTCTCAAACATCCCTTCTCTACACCCACAGTGGCTAAAGAATTATTGGAATCAGTGGTCTAACTCCATGGGCCACCCTCTTCTATTGTGTCAGATAGAGATAAGATATTTACAAGTCACTTTTGGAAAGATTTATTCAAGTTATGGGACACAAAGTTGACCATGAGCACAGCTTATCACCCCCAAACGGACGGGCAACGTGAAAGGGTCAACCAATGTGTGGAGATGTACTTGAGGTGTGCTGTCCATGTCAATCCTCACAAATGGCACTCCTGGCTTGCTCTAGCTGAATTTTGGTACAACACCAATTACCACTCTTCTCTGGGCTGCTCCCCGTTTAAGGCTCTCTATGGTTACAACCCCAATTATGGGTTCTTTTCATCAGTGCTTCAGTCGGCTAACGTGGATGTGGAACAATGGTTGAGAGAACACCAATCCCACTCAGCCTTACTCAAAAACCACCTGCTAAAAGCTCAAGCAAAGATCAAGATGTATGCGGATCAACATAGATCTGCACGCTCTTTCTCAGTGGGAGATGAGGTCTTTTTGAAGTTGCAACCGTATGTCCAACACTCAGTGGTAAATAGGCCTTGTGCTAAGTTGGCCTATAAATATTATGGTCCTTTTCAGGTTCTGGAGTGTATAGGTCCAGCCGCCTACAAGCTCCAACTTCCTACGGAAGCTCAGATACATCCAGTTTTTCATGTGTCTCAATTGAAAGAACACAAGTCAGATCACACTCCAGTGTTTTCTCAGTTGCCTGCAGCAGTCAACTTGTCAGGTGTTCAAGTGGTGCCAGAGAGGATTCTTGAACGCAAGATGGTGAAACGCCACAACAAGGTGCAGGTCCAAGTGTTGATTCAGTGGTCTGGTTTAGCAGCTGAAGCAGCCACCTGGGAAGACTATGATGTCTTGAAGAACAGGTTTCCGGACGCACCAGCATGGGGACATGCTGCAACTCAAGAGGGAGGCATTGTCAGTACAGCTACGACAGTACTGACAACGACGACAGACACTGAAGCCACCTACGTGTAATTCATGCGGAAGGTTAGTGGGCCTAAAGTAGTGGGCCGCGTCTGGTGAGCGAGAGGCAGTAGTATAACAGGCTGAGTCGCCGGATCGGTGTGATAGCGAGGAATTAGTCAACATTCTGTACCCAGTCTCCTCTCGTCTCCTTCCTCCTTCCCAAGTCTCCTCCTCTCTGATCCCCTATATCTCTCGGGTTGTATCTTTTGAATTGAAGTGAGGAACTCTGTAATTGATGTTGGATTGGGTGTGATTACCTCGGTACATCACATTCGGTTTTTCATAGTGGTATTTTGGTACTTGTGGTTTCCACCAGTGATATTGTGGCTATTCTCTCCTAGAATTTTAAATGATGTGGAGGAGAGAGAATCAAGAGAGAGGAAGAGGTCGTCGGTAGAATTCCAAACGATCTGTAGAGCAGGAAAATCGGGAGATACAGACGGCCATGTACTGTTGTATCGAAGCCGTCTGCACTTACGATGGTTTTCTCCTTCCACGATCGATCTGGTGATTAGCCTTTCCACCCAGCGGAAGTTCAGCGGCCAGGATCAAATCCCCAATGTTCCGTCCAGATCCACCAAAAGATTTATCATTTATTTATTTTGTTTCAATAGACCACCGAATAAGGTCCCAATGTAGACGCTGTCCTCAGGGCTGTCTACAGATGACATGTCAGGCCATTGTAGACAGACGTTGTCGAAACTGTTGCAAATGCCCTTAGGGTTTGGTTGTTCCTACTGCGATTCCGTCTCTCCGAGTAGAAGGCGACTTTGGTTTCCTCCCTTCGCGCCAACTTTGGTTTCCTCTTCGCGCCAGCTGATTCAAACACGGATTCGTATTTGAGACAGAGCGGGATCTCCTACCCGACCCCCCGCCCCCCTAAATTGAAGTAGCGCACACAGAGACATCGTCGAATCATGGGGCTGATGGCGCTGAATCGACTCATGTCCAGGCAGCGGGAGCAGAAGCAGAAGCGAAATCGTGGCCGTATGGAAGCCAATAGTAAGTCCCGCGCGACTTTGCTTATTTTGCTTTTGCGGCTCCTCTGCTATTAATTCTCCTGTGTGCGCCTTGCTGCTATGTGTGAGTTTTTCCGTAAATAAAACTACTTTTTCTGGAGCCCTGTCCGCATTGTGGATCTCAGTGCGTGGTGTTATCCGGTTTTATTAGACCAAAGGAATTCGACGAGCCTTGGGGGCAATTGCGTTGTTTTCCTAAAATATTTGTCCTCTGTTGGAGTTTGATTTTCAGGTTGACACAACTTATTCTTGTAGATTGTAGATCTCTTTTGCGTTCCTGCAAAAAATTGGACAAAAGATCCAACTTCTGTAAAAAAAAGCAACTTTTTTGGAGCCCTGTCGGCAGTGGGGATCTCAGTAGCTGATGAGATCCAGTTTTACTAGATCGAAGGAAGTCGACTGGACTTGGGCAATCCCGTCGTTTTGCAAAAATACTTGCGCTCAACTGGAGTTTGATTTTCAGATTGACACAATTTGAGTCTTGTAAATTCTAGGTCTCTTTCATCTTCCTGCAAAAAATTAGACAGAAGATCCAACTTCTATATATATTTTTACCTTTTTCTTGAAGCCCTGTTTGCAGTGGGGATCTGTACCTTGAATATTGTACCAAGAAATATATGCAAGATCCTAACTAAAGCTACCGAATAACTGCAATTACTGGAGGAAAACAGGGATAAGATAAGGTAATCACAGGGAATTGTTACAAAATATACAAGAATGATATAGAGGAACAAGATAAATTAAGCCTTTTGTTCTTGGGTGTTCCTAAACAAGGCAAGCAACTAATACAAAGATAACCCTTCTACCCTTACATCTAATATTCTCTTAATATCTCATAATACTAATACCCTGACATTCACCCTCCTTGAGATCCTTGTTCAACAATGGAAATCAGCAACTCTCCAGAATTCTTCAGCCATGTTAAGGAGGCTGATAATTGATCAGCCAAAGAGTGATTCCACCCAAGCTCATGTGTTGTTG